GCAGCTCGTGAGTGCCATGCCTCGTGCTTGTTAGTGCCGTGCCGCAGCTTATTCCCGTTCTTGTGCTGCAAGCTGCTGGCACTACAAGCAGCCGCTGAGTTTTGATACGCCTAAAAACTCCTACGGCTGAAAACTCGTCTCACGACATAATCAAGGGCGATTCAGATAGACTCTGCGCGCCCTCCAGTGCCCGTCTATTACAAGCAGCCGGTGAGTGCCAAGTGCCTTGTGTACCCAGTTTGTACGGCGGAGATAGTGGATATGAGCAACGACCAGGACACCACGGACCTGCACAAGTACTTTCACTGAGATCCCTCTGCCCTTTTCCCCCCTCTCTTCCCCCCCTGCTTCCCCCCTCCTTCTGCGCATCCCTCCTGTGCCTTGTCTCCCCCCACAGGGCGCGGAGATAGTGGATATGAGCAGGGACCAGGACACCACAGACCTGCTCAAGTGCATCCTCTAATGCCCCAGCTCCTCCTTCCCCTCCTTCGTCCCTGCTCTTCCGTCTCCTCCTCCCCATCCCTCCCGTACTCTATCCCCCCACAGGGTGCAGAGATAGTGGATATGAGCAGGGACCAGGACACCACAGACCTGCACAAGTGCATCAACAGGATTCTGCTTGACACCGGCCACTCCAGCTCCGTCACTCCCTCTGCCATCCCTCATCCCACACCTTCTCCCCCTCCCCTCTCCGAATCCACTGCTGCGGCCCAAACCCCTTCCACCCCTGCCAACACCAACAACACGGGATCTACACCTAATGCTGCTCTATACCCAGAATCTTCGTCTCTTTCTCTTGATTCCGCACCTGAAACACACTCCTCTGGACTTGCCCAACAACCACACAATAGAATCCTCTGCCAACCTGAACCCAAACCTGAACCTCCTGCTTTGCCTCGGCCGGACCAACCACAGCCCAGAGCCCTCCTCCCAGCAAAGGTGGTTCGGCCGGACCACAGAGTGATAGTGGTGGGGTCGCTGGGCGGCCGCATGGACCACGAGTTCGGGAACGTGAACGTGCTCCACCGGTTCCGCCACGTCAGCATCGTGCTGCTGTCGGAGGACTGCCAGCTGTTCCTGCTGCCAGCTGGCTGGCGCCACGTCATCACACCCCACCGGCGGTGGGAAGGGCCGCACTGCGGGTTGATCCCTGTGGGAGAGCCGTCTCATGGGACCACGACAACCGGGCTGAGATGGAATCTATGTGAGTGGTGTGAAGTGGTGCGTAGTGGTGTACGGTGGTTTGGGGCACCTGTTTCAGCAGGTATAGCAGCACGAGGGGCCTCTCTGCGGGTTGATCCCCGCGGGGGAGCCGTCGCATGGGACCATGACAACGGGACTGTAGTGGAATCTATGTGAGTGGTGCGTAGTGGCTTGAGCACCTGTAGCTGTAGCAGCACGAGGGGCCTCACTGCGGGTTGATCCCCGTGGGGGAGCTGTCGCATGGGACCATGACAACGGGACTGAAATTGAATCTATGTAAGTGGTGTGTGAAGGGGTGCGTGGTTTGAGTTTAGCACCTGTTGTCGCCCTCTTCCCTGTCGTTTCTTCCCGCCCTCATCTCCCTCTTCCACCTCCCATGTATTCTCCCCTCCCCACCAGCTAACACACCAATGCGGTTTGGCGGCCTTGTCAGCACATCAAACCTTGTTGTTGCGCCAACTGTCACTGTCGAATCTGACGTGGACCTTATCTGGACATGTGCTGTTACATACCCCCCTAAAAACTACTAGCCTGCACTGCACTTGCAAAAGGTCACGTTGTTTGTGCGTATTGTTGAAAGAACGTTGCTAAACCGCCCATTGGCAAGCCATTGGGTGTGCAGAATTCTGGAAAATGAATAGCTAGGACGAGCGCACTGCAAGCATGCCACCGGTTCCTGTGCCTAGAATGTTCCAAGTTTCCTGAGGTGAGGTAGAAAGCACAGTAGTTGTCAATGGTGCTGTTCGCCAGCACCATTATATCCAAAAACCACGGGATAACGACGGGATCAGGAAGGTGGGTCTCGCCTTCCTGATCCCGTCAGTTAGAGTTCGTTAACCTCCGTCAGCTTGGTCAGCCCATGAAAAAAGTGCCGAGCCTCACCTACCGTCCAAACCAACAAACAAAGTGGGCGTCTGGCGAACGCCCACTTTTCTCCACCAAATCTAACAGTTCGACGGCATCTGGAAGCGGGGACTGTTAGAATGGTCTAAGCTACTAGCGGAAGCTATAGTAGTCTTAGAACCTCCTCATAAAGCCTAGGAATCTTAGGAGCCAACTTGTGCATGAACCATGTTAGAACCAAATTGGTTACCAAGAAGTGAAGTTCCAACAAGAGAGAACCCTAACCTATAGGGTTTGGGAGGTGGCCCACTCTATAGAGTGTACACCACAAGTTCTCCCAACCCAACCAATGTATTCTACACTACTATAGTGTAGATGTATCACTACATATGTTTATTGGAGCAACCCGAATTAACCTTAATTCCAACACCCCCCCTTGCTCCAATAAGCATTAAAGTTCACCCATAAATCAAAACACAACCCCTCCAGCTAATGAAGCCCTGGCCTTCGCAGCCATCACTCGCATGCCGATGCGCTCCAGGTTCTCATGCAGCTGCAAGCTTGGAAGAGCTTTGGTGAGCATGTCGGTATCCTGGAGGTGGGAGCGTACTGAGTGCACCTCGACCTCCTGCTGGCGCACCGCATCCCGTACAAAGTGCCATGCCACCTTAATGTGCTTGGTGCGCTGATGGAGAACGGGATTGTGGGCAAGGGAGACAGCAGCCTCATTATCACAGAGCAATGGAATAGCCCCCCCATCCCCCACATGCATCTCTGTCAACAAACTCCTCAACCAAATGGCCTCCTTGGCCCCCTCCGATAGAGCTTTGTACTCAGCTTCAGAAACGCTTGCTGCAACACTGTCTTGCTTTTTACTATACTAGCTGTTTGCTCCTCCTCCCAGCTTAAAGATGTAGGCAGAGCGACTCTTGCCATCAGTCTCACCACCCCAATCCGAGTCTGTGTACCCAACTGATGGAATGGGTTTGAAACCCGTAGAATTGGTTAAGGGATGTAGCCCTTTTCAGGATCGTAGTATCTTGGATTAAAGACTAAGTATTGGCAGCGGAAGACTTGTAGCTTGTCCAACTTGTGTGGAGTCAAGCTTGTATATGAAAGTTGTAAGTTATACAAATTATATGTGTGTAAAGTTATTATATGAAACATGCATACAGAGGTTTTATAGTCCTAGCAAAAGTACCTGTTCGTATACTGTAGACGAAGTACCTATTCGTCACTCTAGGGGTGTTGACCTATAGACACTAATGAAAGTGGCTATTTGTTGACCTAGGCCTAGAGCTACTTTGACTAGTCAGCTGAATCCGAATGCTGACGTCATCAAGTTCGAGACCCACTATTGTACTGTTTCGATATTGTATAGTCTAACTGGGAATTTCAGAAATGCTAAGAGACCTACATCTCTCAACACCAACAACCTGCTCACCACCTTGGCGCTCATACCTGATGACACGATCAGCTGTGTCGACCAAGTACCTGAGTGCTCTCAGTGCAGCGCGCATGTGAATGCGTCTTGGTGCCACGCAGGACTGTGCAAGGGTGTTGACAGTGAAAGACATGTCAGGACGGGTGGTCACAGCAGCATACATCAAGCTGCCAATGAGACTCTGGTACACCTTGACATCAGCTGCAACACCTTCCTCAGTCGACCAAGTACCATTCCTGATCTTAGAGAGATCATTGGGTGACATTGGAGTATGCACCCTATGGGTCTCCTTCAGCAGATCACCAAACCTTCCCTGGAGACCACGGACATACTTCTCCTGACCAATCTCCAACCACCCATCCTTGACCGACCTGCGAACCTCCACACCAAGGTACGTGGATACCTCACCTAGATCCTTCATCTGGTACCTCTGAGCAAGCACCTCCTTGACCAGACCGATCAGCTCCAAGCGTGGAGACACAAGCAAGAGGTCATCCACATACACCAATACATACACTGGCTCTTCATCCACAAACCTGATGTACAGAGCCTCATCACATGCACTACGGTCAAACCCTGCTGCAATCAGGGTGGTACCAATCTCCTCATTCCAAGCACGAGGCGCTTGCTTGAGCCCATAGAGAGCTTTGCGCAAGCGATACACCCTACCTGTACCATAATCAAATCCCTCAGGTTGCCTCACATACACCTCCTCTTGAAGGACTGCATTGAGGTAAGCATGATCAACATCCTCCTGTTGTACATGCCACCCTTTTACCGCGGCTTCTGCAAGAAGCACCCGACCTGAGATGAGCTTGCCCACAGGGGAAAATACCTGATCATAGTCCTTCTCGGGCTCCTGAGTGTACCCCTTAGCAACAAGGCGAACCTTGTGCTGTACCACCTTATCCTCCTTGTCAGTTTTCCTGCGGAAAACGTACCTGACCCCAATGGCCTTCTTACCTGGAGGTAAGTCGACCGGCTCTGGATCCCATACACCCATAGTGCGCATTGCATTTACCTCCTTCTCAGCGCCTGCCTTCCACGCAGGGCCCTCAGGGCCACGCAGGGCCTCAGCGAGTGTGCGTGGGACATCACCGGTGCTCACACCTGCCAGTGCAACACCTTCCACCTCCCTGGCCAAACACAGCATGCCCTCAACCACACCAGCATCCCCCCCTACCTCCTCACCACCTGTACCAAACTGGATACCAAGCACCTGCAAACCCGTAACCGGTGGTGGGGAGGTAGTCGCTGGTGACGGAGGGGCACCCGTAGAGAGAGGAACAGAGCGCTGACTAGAGGGGGAGGAAGAGGAAGTAGCCTGTGTAGCGGATCTCCGCTGAATGACCGAGGGGCCACTGAGCTGCTGCAGAGGGGTGGGCTGCTGCTGCACCGACACACTCAGCGGTGCCGGTGGCAGTGATGAAGGTGGCATCTCAACGTCGTCAGCCGGTGCTGAGGGTGGCGAGAGTGGAAGAGGGAGGAGTTGGGAAATCGCAGCTGCATCCTACAGAAGCTCCCCAAATCCCTTTGCCTTGTCCCAATCCTTCCACATCACATTCTCAAGAAAATCAACATCCCGAGCAATGCGAATGCGCATGAGAGAAGGGTCCAGCATGCGCCCCTTGCTCTCCATGTCCACCCCAACACAGACACATATGACAGCCCGTGCATCAAGCTTGCCACCCTTCTCATGCCCATGCAGCATGACACTCCCCATGCAACCCCAAATCCGAGCCATGCCCACATGCGGCTTCTGGCCGGACCACGCCTCCATTGGTGTGATGGAGGCAGGCAAAGCACTGTGGGTGACCCTATTCTTAACCCACACGACCCACATCAATGCTTCACCCCACAAGCGAGCAGGGAGACCACTGTCGACCAACAATGTGCGAATCCCCTCTGCCATCGTCCTGTGCCACCTCTCCACGACCCCATTCTGCTGCGGTGTATCTGCGACACTCAATTGGGTTTTGATGCCAAACTCCGCTTTCCATGCTTTCACAGCGTCCCCCAAGAACTCGCCACCCCTGTCGGAGCGAACAGCCTTCAGCTTCCGCCCACACTCCAAATCCACGTCCTTATGCCACTGGCGAAGAACTTTTGCGACTGTGGCCGATTCCTTGTTGGGGAGTGGGAACGACCAAACTCGTCTGGTGAAGTCGTCAATGAGACTGAGGACATACACCGCTCCTCCCAGTGACGGTGTGCGCACTGGCCCCCACAAATCCATGTGGACCTCATCCAAAGGCCCAAGTGCCCGAGACGCCTCGTGGGGAAACGGCTTCCGAGCCGACTTTCCCAATAAGCAAGGTTCACATGGGGAGCAATCAGTGCTCCCCCCCCCGATCTCCAAGCCCAGTACACTGTTCCCCCGAGCCATCTGTTGCAATGTTGTGGGGGCGGTGTGACCAAGGCGGCGATGAGCAAGGGTCAATGGGGAAAATGAGGAGGAGGACCCAGCTGCAAGAGCACTGCCTTGTGTGCCCCGAGCAAGAGGAAGAGACATCCGCACCAATCCATGGTCCCTGCCCCTCTCCTTTTCTCCAATCGCCAACACCCTCTCCCCCCGTTTAAGAACACATTTCTTGCCCTTGAATGTGACAATGACATCTCGAGAGGTGAGGTGTGGGACTGACAGTAGACGCGTGTGCATCTCAGGCACAAGGTGGACCTTTTGAATCCTCAGCAGTTGACCTCTTGCACCAACCACTGGCACCTCACCCATGCCAACAGCTTTCACCACTCGTCCATCTCCCAATCTAACTCCCCGAACCTCTGGTGGCTGAAGCTTACTTTTGAAGTCCGATGCATAAGGAGTAAAGTTGTGGCTGGCCCCACTGTCAATCCACCACCCCTCTCGCGGCTGCTCCTCTCCCACTGCTGCAACTGCCTCTCCAACCACTGCCTCTGCCTTGTCATCCTGCTCCTCCTCATCCGCCACCTGTGCCTTGCCGTTGGATCCACGACCCCCCCGCTTTAAGAATGCCGGAATGCCTCCCTTAGGTCGATGAGGACACCGCTGCCATGCATGTCCCTCATCCCAACAGCCATGACACAACCCCCGAGGAGCCATGCCCTTGGACCCCCAGGGGAAATCAAGCACTCCCGCTTTGCCTTTTCCTTGACCCCATCTACCCGAGTTGGTGTCACTGCTGCTACCGCTGCCTCCATGCTTTCCGCCCTTGTCCCCATTTCCCCTGCCGCTGCTGCCCACTTTCGTACCCGCTCCAAAAGTGGCTACACCATCCGATCTTGGTGCGACACCAATCCGCATCTCCTCGCTCCTCAAGGAGGTAAGCAGCTGATCCTTAGTAAGCGATGGTGATTGGTTGTTCAGCACTACCTTCAGCAGCTCAAAGTGAGGAGGTAGTCCTTTGAGTACCCTCATCATCCACTCCTCAACCTCCTCCTTCCCTCCTGCAGCCAAGTACTTGGACCTCAAGTCCTCGGCACGCGCCCAGTATGCAGCCACTCCCTCCCCTTCTTTCATCTTCAAGGAAGAGAGTTCCTCTGAGAGTGCCATCCGGTTACACAATCCACGCTGAAGGTATAATTCCTTCACTCGTGTGTATGCTGCTGCTGTGCCTGCAGGAACTCGGGTGACCGCTCTTGCTCCGCCATCAACAGGTGCGTTTCCCAACTCGGTCTTGCCGCCGAACTCCCGTACCAAGCGAATCAACTCATCTGGCACCAAGGCATTGCAGAATTGGGCAAATGCCTTTTGATTTCTCATCTCCCACTTTAGCCGTGCGTCACCAGATGCAGGCCGCTCCTCCGAACCATCAAAGTACCCCCATAGATCGTGTGCCTCTGCCCATTGCTTGAATCGGAAGCTCCAAGTCCAATAGTCGCTCCCGTCGAACTTTGGCGCACTCTCCAGCTTCTCTTCGCCTGAGTCATGATCCATTTGCAGCAGGAGCACTGAAGATTGACGTTCAGGTGGTGGTGGAGGCAACGGCGGTGACGGTGAAGTTGATGCGGGCAGATTCACACCCTCTTGGTTATTAGAGCGTAACTCCGTGCTCGAACGTCCGAATGATGAGCCGTTTAGCTCAGATGAATCCTTGCTCCGAGACCGTCCCGATGATGTATCGCGCTTCTGGATCCCGCGTCCGAGCTGGCCGCTTAAACTCGTCGAAGTTGGCCGATTTCCCGTCGACGAAGACTCGACCGTTTCTCCCAATTTTTTTGTTGGATGCGCCCTAGCCTCCTCTGTCGGCGTCTGCCCTCCAATTGTTTTTCCGCGCTTTAAATCTTCCCCGATTCGCGATTTTCCAATTCGTTCGCCGACTGTATTTCGTGAATTGCGTCCGATCCGCTCGTCGATTGGTAACCACCCTGAGGCAATTGTTGTTGTTAGAGTCTTACGGCAAAATTGGGTGTCGACTATCGAGGGGAAAGATACAAAGAAAAAAGCCTAAGGGGTTGTACCCCACAGTGAGTACCCCACTAAGCCTAACCAAACTTTAACAGATATACACATATGTTTGACACACCCCCATAGGCAAAGTGGGGGAGAACAGAGGGTCACAAGACCAGTCAGGAAGTGCAAAGCAAGCTCAGGGTGGATCACAACGTCACCACGCAGTCTGAGCACAAGCAAGAAGGCCACAAGGCCAGTTCACATGCAGAAATATATATGTAACAACAACAGTACAGTGATATCTACCTATAAGAACAAGCATGCAGGAATACATATAAATCATGGTACAAACAAAGCCTACAGCAAGTGAGGAAGAGTGGGCACCAGGCCTAACAAAGTGCAGAAACGCTGATGATCACCAGGCGGAAGCGCCTTGGTGAATATATCAGCAGTGTTGGCCCGAGTGACCACGTAGGTAAGACGAAGCTGGCCACGCTGCTGCAGCTCTCGAGCAAGAAAGTAACGGAGAGCGATGTGCTTTGTTCTGTGCTCCAGTCTGTGCTCCTGACACAAGGCAATGGCGGCCTTGTTGTCGACGTACACAACTGGAGGAGAACGAGGCCTCTCTCCCAAGTCGGTCAGCAGGTAGGTGAGCCAGCGCAGCTCCTGTGCAGCCATGGCTGTGGCGTAGATCTCTGCCTCACAGCTGGAGCCGAGAACTGAAGACGAACGTGTAGAACGCCAGGAAACTGAACCAGAACCAAGGCTGAAGGTGTAACCCTGTGACGACTGCTGCGTAGCCTGGTCGTCAACCCAAGAGGCGTCCGAGTGACTTGTGAGGACAACGTCACCCCGTCCTCCAAGCACGAGCCCCATGCCCGATGTACTGCACAAGTAGCGTAGTACCCTCTTGGCAGCATCTATGTGCACCTTTCGGTGCCGACCAGGAGCCACATAGCGAGCCAGAAGGCCAAGAGGGTACGCAAGGTCAGGACGAGTGCAGGTCATCAGGTACATGAGGCAGCCCACTAACTCTGGGTAAGGACCACTCGGCTCTACGGACTCGTCCGAAGGTGGAGCTGAGAGCGAGTGACCTGTAGCCAGAGGAGTGGCCCGTGCTGAGGACCAGGTGAAACCGAAGCGCTGAAGGACCTGGTGCACCATGTGTGACTGAGTCAGTGTGATGGTGCGGCGTGCTCTGTCCCGGGTGATCTGCAAGCCAAGGTAGCTGCGCAGTTCACCCAGGTCTGTGCACGTGTGTCTCTTCTGCAGCTCCGACTTCACCCGGGCGAGAGCCTCAGTGTCAGCAGTGGCAAAGACCAAGTCGTCGACGTACACGAGAACGTAGAACGGCGGCAGAGAAGTGTCCGTGCGCACAAACAGCGACGGGTCAGCAGTCGACGGAGCAAACCCAAGAGCCGCAAGTGTCGTCCTCAGTGTGTCGTGCCAGGAGGGGGAACCTCGTCGACGTAGGTGCCTGTGGACTTCCAGGATGCCATCTCTGCGTCCATGGCTGTCTGCCACTGAGAGGAGTACTCACCCGCGATCGCCTCAGCGTAAGAGCGCGGGGTAGGGATGTCTGGTGCATCCGGGTCTCCCTCAGGGGCAAGCAGCATGGATACGAGATGAGGCGCAGCGGCTGCAAGACACTCAAGGTCCTCCTGCCTGTCCTCAAGGACGTCCGTGCCAAGAGCACACTCACCCCCGACGGACGGAGGACAGACAGACTCAGACTCAGCAACAAGACTGGCGGCGTAGTCAAGACGACAGGCAGCAGCAAAGTCAACAAGCTCAGCGACTAAGGCAGACGCAGCAGCAGACTCAAACGTCGGGTCAGTGACAACAGTGGCAAGCAGACGCGTGACAGTAGAGTGCTCAGCACGAAACTGGTCAGACGCAGGGTCAGCAACGACAGGCAGAGAGGACGCAGGGGGAGACGGCAGAGGAACACGCAGCGGAGGAGAGGAAGGACTACGAACTACAAGGTGAGAGCCGGAGAGAGCCGGCTGCCGCTGACGAGGAACACGACGACCGGAACGACCAGAACGGACAGGTGAGACAAGACGCGACGCAGGCTCACGACACTCAGTAAGGCCCCTAGTCTGCTCTGTGTACGGAGAAGGAGCAGGCAGCGGTGAGCCAGGCTGTAAAGGAAGACCAGTAGACGAGGGAAGACTGAGAACCTGGCGAAGTGCAGAGTCAGGTGGTGGCTGAGACGACGGAGACGACGGAGCGAAGAACAGGCGCTGCTGAGCAGTGCCACCAGCACCAGCAGCTCCAGCACCTCCAGCAGCTCCAGCACCTCCAGCAGCTCCAGCACCCTCAGCAGCTCCAGCACCGCTAGTAGCTCCAGTACCCTCAGCAGCTCCAGCAGCGCCAGCACCTCCAGTAGCTCCAGTACCTCCAGCAGCTCCAGCACCCTCTGCAGCGCCAGTACCCTCAGTCACAACACCGCCAGCCCCAGCAGCTCTAGTACCCTCAGTACGAGCACCTCCGGGACCAGCGACACCAGCAGAAGAACCTCCAGCAGTAGAGCCTTGAGGTCCAGAAGCGCGACGCTGGCGGCGACCGTACCAGTCGTGCAGCTGCTGGGAGGTGAGGGGCACACGCGGACGAAGACGGCTACTCCAAGGAGACCGCGGAAAAGCAGTCGCAGAACCCTCAGGCGACTCACCCCCAGACTCAGCACCCCCAGGCTCCGCACACGCAGGCTCAGCACCCCCAGACGCAGCACCTCCAGACGCAGCACCCCCAGGCTCCTCACGCTCAGCGCCCCCAGACTCAGCACCCCCAAGCTACGCACCCCCAGGGACAGCACCACTCGCAGCAGGACCGGAGTCACCAGTGACCTCAACAGGCGCAGGCGCGGGGGGGTCTACCTGAGAGACACCTGAAGGAGCAGGACCTGGCGCGGGGAGGGGGTCTACCTGGGGAGGACCTGGGGCGAGAAAGAGCGGCGGGGGGGGGCGAGGAGCAGTGCGGTAGGGGAAGAGGCGTTAAAAGGGGACGGACTCGTCAAAGGTGACGTCCTGAGACCCAAAGACACGGCGCGAGGCGGGGTCGTAAAACTGCCAGCCAGGCGCGTCAGGGACAAAGCCAAGGAAGACGCAAGGAATGGCACGAGGGGAGAGCTTGTCCGCGGTGGTATCGCGGACAAAGGCACGAGCACCCCAGACCCGGAAACGCGACGCGTCGCCAACCTTCCCTGTCCACAGCAGTGTGGGCGAGGTCTCCGGCAAGGAGACACGGGGCCAAAGGTTGAGCTGATGCGCGGCGTACCGGACCGCAAACGGCCACAGAAAATGGGGGGCAGCCGCATGGATCATGGAGGTACGAGCGACCTCCATGACTAAGCCAATGCGGCGCTCAGCAACCCCATTCTGCTGAGGAGAGGCCGGAAGCGTGAAAGTCTGGCGGATGCCGTGCTCCGCACAGAAGGCTGCCAAGAGGTCTGAGGAGAACTCACCACCTCTGTCAGAGTGCAGACACAGGACAGGAAAGTCCGACTGGAACCGCTCGCGGAGCTGGAGACGAGTAGCGCGGATCCAGGGGATCAAAACATCAGGGACATCCCCCTTGCGCTGCAAGGGGAAGACCGTGGTGTAGCGCGTGTAGTCGTCGACAACCAGCAGGAAGTACCGCTCGTGGCCCTGTCCACGGACGCGGGCTGGGCCCCACACGTCCAGGTGGAGAGTCTGCAGTGGAGCCTCTGTGGGAGGGAACGAGGAGGAGTGAGGAGCGGCGCGCTGCCGCCCCTCGACGCAGGGAATGCAGGGCGGCGCAGGCGAGGGAGGGAGGGGAGGCAGAGACCTGGGAAGCCCAGAAACCAGGAGGCGGGAGTGCATGCTGCGTAGGCGAGGCAGGGAGGGGTGACCAAGGCGGTGGTGCCACAGGAGAGTGTCGTGCGACAGCCAGCGACACTCACACTGTGTAGCTACCTGAGCAGACGCGTGCAACTGGGGAGACAAAGGGGCGGAGTGTGACGCAGTGGTGAGGGTGTACAGACTGGACCCCGGCGCACGAGCGAACGTGGCCAGGTGGCGACCAGTCTGGGAGCACGTGCAAATCGCCACACGCTGCCGGCCAGGGGTGAAGGTGTCAACCCCCGCATCCTGGAGGACAGCGTTACTCACCAAGTTCGTAGAGAAAGAGGGGAGGTG